TCTAAACAGCTTGCAGCAAATGCAGCAGCAAAAGCAGCCAGCCATACACGCTACCCGCTCCTCCAAGTATCTACACCTGCCAAAGAAGTTGCACACGAAGCTCAAGACAAGCACAGTTTGGTTTGTGGGGTGGGGGTTTTTTTGTTTTATTTTTGGGTTTTTTGGGGGTTTTGGTTTTTTTTGTTTTTGGGTTGTTTTGTGGGGGTTTTTTGCTTCTAAGTTTTTATTTGACTGCAGTCAAAAAGTATAACTCCAAGCTGGTAGCACAAAGTAGAGCCAAGCATTGTGCAGGCAGGGCGCGAGCTTCGGCAAGACGATTCTGCCAACGCACCTGCAACCCTTTGCTGTTCCAGTACTGGACAGTGCCCGAGCCCGGGCTGCCAGCCTCTGGGACTCTGCCAGCTTTGATGGGTTTGTGATGTGGACAGATGTCTGCTAGGACCTGGAATGAGGTCACCAGACTCATTTGACTTGTGGCTGAAGAGCGATGTAAGAGTTTAGGTACCCAGAGATGAAAGGATGTTATGGTTACCCATTGAACCACCCACTCGCTAAAAAAAACAAAACCCCAAGCCCTAGCCCAGAAACACACTTGTCTTAACCTAAGGATAGGACAGGTAAAAGGAAGGCAAAGTAATTCTTAAAAACTGAATGAATTCTCTTGGATTCACAGATTAGCACCTGAATACTCACAGCACATCCCCTAGCAGCTAGATTTTCAAAACCTGAGACACTTACCTAAGCAGCCGTGCCAATTTTGAGGCATTTGCATCAACGTACAAATAGGAAAAAAAAATGCAGAATATCATTAACATTAGCCAATAGAAAAGGGATTCTTTCACGATTATTTTTTTATTTTTAACTTGCAAAATTATTTCTGGCCTTTTACAAACACAGAAAAACCAAGAAGGATGATTTTGAGCAAGAGACAGGTTAATCGACACTTTGTGCAAAATTTAGGTAAGGAAAACCTCTGGTCTCTCTGCTGGACTGTATTTCTTGCAGTGCCTGACTTCTAAAAAGTGACACAGTTCAGATCCTCAGAAAGAGTTATGTCTCTCCTACATGGCATCAAAGAGTTTATAAAGAAAAAATGTATTTAAAACACCTTTCACCTTCAAAGATCTGCTACCACTCTACAGTCTGACAGCTCCCCAAAGAGAAACGTTTGAGCCAGTCCCATACATTCGAAGACCTGCACTTCTAGGGGTATGAAAACAAGAGTTTATAAAGATCAATTTATTGGAATAGTAGACTGTTTACAAGGGCCACTAGAAAAATTAAAAGCACATCTTTTAAATGAGAATAAAACAAGATACAAAATTGAAGGCTTTGGAACTCAACAAAAAAGAGAGACGTTACAACACCAGACGAGAAAATGCAAGCTTACCAGTTCACAAAGAGAAGGATTTTGGTTAAAATAAGGTGCAAAAAAGATGTAACAACCTATATAAAACAGCTGCGACCTAAAAATGCCATCCAAGAGAGACTGTAGTGTATGAAATTCAATTTAAAGGATTATTTTAAAATTTGTTATTTAATTAATTAAATTTTGTTATTTAATTCTTTCAGTTAGTATTAGTTCATAACATCCATTTCAAGTGGTTAATTCTACTGGATACACTCACATTAACAAGCAGTTAAAGAACTCTGTGGAAATGTTAAAGACAGGAGGAAAACTAGGCAGCATTTCCATCGCTGATGCGAAGAGGCAGGTGATGTTGAACGCCATTCATCAAGCACACGCCAATCGCCAGCTCAAAACAGATGAAAAAGTGACAGCAGAACAAACAACTCCCAAGATACCCCATCTCAACATATCTAGCCTTCTGGTTCTACGTTGGAGGCTCTAAACTCATGACTGCCCTCCTTTCAGTCCTCTCTTTCCTGTCTACCTGTTCTGAAATAAGGTTTGTGCACAAAGGCACAGACACACTCCGACCCGTGCCTTACAATGCACGCAACACAAGAAGAGCTCTTCAGCTGCATGAGTTTAAAATAAAATTCTCTTGCAAACTATATAAAGTTTCTTCAGTGGAAGAAAACCCAAATCCTCCAAGTTTGGTAATTTTCTATCACCAAGAAGTGTTGAATAATTTCAGCTGCATTTTAAATACAGGAGAAAGTTGGGTTGGTTTTTTTTTTCCCCACAAGAGAATAAAGCACCTATAATTTTCATAGAAATAATCCAGAAGCAGGAGAGAACTCACCTGAAGCTACAGTAGGAGACCAGACTTACTTGACAGCAGATGGTCCATTCAGGGAAGCCTACAAATATACGCACTACGAGAAAAGCTTCCGTCAGATCCTATCATCAGCGAGATAACTGCATCAGAAATCAGATTATGTTAATCCTGACGGTCACGGTGCTACCTGTTGAAGAGGTTTATATCCTGACACGAAGAGGACCCAAGCCATCTCTAGTTTAAATCTGTGCATGTCCGTAGAGTTAAGAAAATATCTTAGATACAATGCCCAAACCCCAAATTCACACATGCGAATGCCAAGAATCCGTGACGCTGCTGCAGCGTTGAGATCACGGGGCTCCAAACTGCATGACACAGGGTAATATGTTATTCACTGGACATCATCCTTCTAGGCATGTCCACTGGATGTCATGAGCACCACTTTAGGTTGAAAGGGAAAGCCAGAGTTAGGGTTTTCTCTGTGGTTCATCGTCCAGTCTATATTATTACCCACGTACGAGCCTGGCTGGGAAGTATTACAGATTTGGAATTTAAAGAAAATAGTACATTCCCCGTTGAGTTAATACAACTGAAATAACCCTTACTAAAGAAATTTTTCTTAGCTTAACAAAGAGCTCCAGAAGCACTAAACAAATGAACTTTCAAGAAACAGCATCATACTTGGTTTGTCTGATGCTTAATGAAGTGAAAGTTGAACTTCTCACAGATGAAGCATTTCTATTCTCCCCTCTCTCCTGCACGAATGTCTGTCATCTAACAGTAGGCAAGTCTACGCCACAGATTTGATGTTTTTCTCCTCTCCGACATAAAAGTTCCCACAAAAATTTACGCCTCAGATCTCTACTCTGCTGTCAAATTAGGTTAAAATTAGACAATGATTAAAAAACACAGAGGGAAAAAGATGGTTTCCCTAACTATATTTTCATCAGAAAGCAGGTTACGAGGCAGTGGCAGTAGGATTGTGAGCTTACGCTAAAGAAAAAATATATCCCTCAGGAAAAACAAAGAAAACCCCAAACTGAGAAGAAACACAGCTTTCCCACTACAGCAACACAGCCAGCAGCCAGCGGGGCTGGAATTCTTCATCGTTACCTTTCCAAGACCGAAAGCTCTCCTAAAGACAGATTGTCAGCTTGTGACCAGCGTAATCAGCCAATGCGAAGTCCCTTCACGTCTGCGCGAGGCGAATAATTATCATAATAGACATTAGTAATTAATTTCCGGTGTGATGTCAGCTGGTGCGGCAATGCCAAGCAAGCGTCCTTGTCAAACACACCCCAGCCGTCTGGACGACTTCAGTCCCATCTCCCTGATTAGGATGCGCGCTGATGCACTGCTTAATACAATCTGCCATCAAACGCCAAATACTTCAGAACTAAATTAGGAAATATGTCCGGCTTTACAGAGTGACGCTCAGGGGCCTAAGTAGATTTCTCTATTCCTTTACGAGGCACAAAGGTGATCACCGATGTAATGCTGCTGAATGAGGCAATTTTACCTTCTAACCTCCCACCTCGGTAGGGAAAAGAATTGGATTAGGACAGCAAAGGAATTAATAAAGACAGCATGGCCTCGCAGCATCTCTCAACCCTAGAGGTATTTATGGTGGCCCCAGCACTTCCCCAGTGAATGTGAATTTTAAGGGGAAATTAGATGCAGCTGGACACATTTATTCCTAACGCAGAGGTAGTCCTAAATACAGCTTTCCTGTTCTAGTCGCTTGCCAAAGAAAACGCTGCATTTTCACACTACAGACCACAGCTCCTTTCATCTGGGTGCTCACCTCCTGCTTCTTTCTCCACCTGCCTGAAGCACTCTCCATCCCTCTTTCCCGATAGCCCATCACATGCCTGAAGTATAACCACAAAAATTGGAATTAAATTAGGGGTTGGAAAAGTTAGGCAAGATGCAGGAAAGGGACAGAAACTCTTCTCAAGGCATCTGGAAACAGGTCTTTCCACCGCTTGGTCCCTGCCCTGGAATGGGGCTGTGTCCAGGAGCAGGCTGCCGCCACCAGCTACCTGGGATCTCGAGCAGGATTCTGAGCCCCTCCAAAATACAACTATTTATGCTGTTATTGATCTGCGAGCCCCTCCTGCAAGCAGGGAAGTTTGAGAAGAGCTGCATTAGAAGCGTGCCTCAGCCATGAGTCTTCAGCAGGGTTACAAAAACAGTCTGGTTTTGATCTACGCTGCCACTGCTAAGTTGTGCTGATAAAAGAAGCAGACCGTGTCACCGGGGGCTTCAAACCTATGATTACCATTTAGCTTCCTCCAATGCAACAGTCACACCATCCTCACTAAACTGGAAGTAACTTGGTTCAAATACTCAAGTGCACACACAAAGAAAAAAAAGAAGCATCCCCCTAAGATAGCACATTTGCACGTGCAAGGCTTGACATGCTGCTCAGGATGCTCTCATCAGAAAGGTTGCGGGAGGTTTTGGCTTTTTGGGGAAAAGGTTGTTTATTCGGGTTTTTAGGTGTTTTGGGGTTTTTTTGAGACGAGTTCCCCCTAGAGGGCCAGTGACGCAGCATACAGCTGAAGGAGCAGGGACTCGCTGAGGAGCAGAGCACGCCAAGTATTTACAGTGAACCCAGTTAGCTGAATAATCATCACTTACTAGAACAACATTAATAGAAGCATCCAATTATTGCATTAAAAGAATGTCTTTACTGTCAAAAGCTGAATAGCAGGGAAGGAAATGGTCAGCAGCATGAACTCTTTTTTCCTTTGTTAACTAAAAAAGTATAAAAATCTTACCCCCCTCCAAAAAAAAAAAAAAATTAAGTACCTGGTTGGGCTCATTCAATAACCAGCCAAAGGTTTTGACCCCAAAGGCTGCTTCATGAGCAGACACATCGAGACATGTGACAGGCTGACCATAGACAGAATGGAGGATTTTGCCAGGATCTTCTGCTTTCAGGAGATAGACAATGTCTTCTGCAGCTGCTACTGTCACTGGACTCCCCGCAACATCTGGGACCAGATTAAGGAAGTTGACCTAAAAAAAGCAGACTTTTAATTTTTATTACAGCCAAAAATTCTTTTGGATCACTGCCGCCACATGCTAAACTGAACAAACTCCTGATGTGTGGTTATCAGCTATCTTGAATCTTCCCAATCATTAGTTCATTTCAAACAAAGACCAAGTATCAATTTTATTTCTGAACTTTTGCAGGTTTAGCTCCTGTGTTGAAACCTACCTCACAGTCTTTAGAATGAGCCCACTTAAAAAAACTGATCAGAACACGTTACAACAGAACACACCAAAACAGGACATCAAAGAAAGGAGTAAGGCTTAACGGACTTGTTCAAATGAGGGACAGAAAGCCATAAGGTTAAAGCGCACAAAGCAAACAGAATGTGAATACGGTGCTCCAGAAGAGGCAACTAACACGGAACAGTTGATGCTTACCCTGAAATCATGTATATATACCCTAAACCAACAGAAAAGTCATCCCACGGCTCTCGGACAGCCCAAGTATCACCATCTTCTGTCACAAGACCAGAACGACGTTGCTCTTCCCGTTTCGCTAAATGTTAAGACATTGCTGCAAAGTCTCACCACGGGAAGGGTTTAAACTCCTGAACAGCACAGCTGATTCCTAACCCGACCTTAGAAGACAGCAGGGTGTCCCGAGTACCTGTCTTTCGCACGTGGCGAACTGACAATTCACAGCAAACAAGATGCAGGAGTAAAATGGATCCAATAGAGTGGGTGGTGTTGTTTATAACATTTTTATTGGGAAACCTCTTAAAAATAAACAAAACCCCCAAACATTTTAAGTACTGTAAAACTGACATAGCTTTGAAAGACGGGATTAACCAGGAGTGGTTTGAATCACAACTTCATATCCATTAGCTGCACAGTAGCTTCTTGCAATAGGAGAGAAGCTGCAAGACTCAATTTATTCCTATGCACTTCCTTCCCCTTTCAAAAAAATGTTGATACTCTGAGACATAATAAAACTTCAGAGAATGGGACAGCTTTTGATTTTTAATTAAAATAGTCTCAAAACTTCAGTGACAGAAGGTGCAACCCAAAGAAGCTGCACAACTAGTTACAGCTTCACAAGTGATACTATTAGCTTGTCTGCAATATCCTGCCTCAGAATTAATCAGATAGCGTTGATCTGGAATGAGACCTTGAGTTTTAGCTCCAATTCTACGTGAGAAAACTGATTTACAGAATGAGCCAACTCAGTTCGATGTTGACAAAAAAAAAATAATTAAAACCAGCCAACCTCCTGCACCATATGGACTTCTATTCATTTTCACTTGCAGCTTAAGCCAGCATTTCACCCTTGCTCTTCAGTGATGAAAGTCTCGTCCATTAACCTGCTTCAAAAATCATAGCCTCTAGTTGATAATGCTGTTATCTAGTTCAGGCAACACTCTTGTAAGATTTTTATAAGATCTCTCTTAACTGTACCAAAAATAATTAGTGGATCAGGAGCTCCTGGAATGAAGCTGAGTGGCCTGGAGACTCACCAATTTCTGGATTTCAAACGTTTCTGTGGTTTGCCAGAATCCTCTGTCGTTAGGGCTTTCCACTTTGACCTCGAAGCCAGATGCCGTTGCTACCGCTGCACCCTCTGAACCAAGAGCTAAAGCCTGTATCCTCTGATTGTGCTGGTAACGATGGATTGGCTCCCGCCCAAACATCAGGCTCCACACACTAACGGTTCCTGTATATACAAGAAATAAACACTACGCTTTACCTTAGAATTCAACAAAACTTTAAAAGATCACTTGAAGAGGTAAGCTTATAAGCATTGTAACGGAAAAGGTTAATACACGGAAAAGAGACTGTAGGGCAGGGAACCAGAACTTGAGGACACTGCTCAGCACCGCCTAGCAGGTTCAGAGGAAACTTTCCAAAATTATGGGCTCTGGCATTAAAGGCTTGTTGCTTTCTTAGGAATTCCTCATTTTTCACTTTTAGATAACATTATTGTCTACCTTGAGGAAGACTTCTTGAAATCTCTCACTTTCCCACATTTGGAGAAGATCAGACTTAAACAGACACCTAAATTTTTATTCCATATACTCGCCCTCAATTACCACTAAAAATAGCGAAGAAGAACCCACACTCAAATTTAAGTCATTCTGCTGCACACAGTAAAGTTTTAAAGTAAAGAGTCTGAAGCTCTGCACACAGCAATCAGGCCAGGGATTTTAATACCATTTGTAACCGTTTACAACCAGCAGCAAAGCTCCTAATCCCAACGCTCTGGAAAAACAGAAAAATGCAGAAGAGTTGAAAAAGCTAAAGAGTGCAAATCCCAAAGAACACAGGAGTACAAGTTAAAAGACAATACATTCGCAATTGCATTTTTTTCCCGGCACAGACCACCGATACTCCATTTAAAAGCATGGTACATTAAAGCAATAATCTGAATAAGAGCAACCTGAAGCAATCAGGAGTGTATTACAGAACAGAAGGGCGAGACGGAATTGGAGACTTCTGGGCCACCTTTGCAGTGAATTAACGGAGAAGCAATCTTCAGACGTGACAGACAGGGCTGGAGAAGCCTTCCTTCTCCTTGAGCATGGCCATTAATGATGGAATGATTAATGGTAGCTATTCCTTCAAAAGGAGACATAAAAGCTCTGACAGACAGCTGTGGACGGGCACCAATGCCAGTTTGCAAACACTCCTCCCGCGTCCCAAAGGAGGTGAAGCAAGAGTGTGGTAATGAAACTGCACATAGTGAAATGGTATCTAAATGAGTTTAAATTGATTTATGTTTGCTTTTGTAAAGATTATTTGGTATCTGGAAAGTGCTAGCCATGTGAAATAATGCAGATAATCCTTAAGATCCCTGTCTAATGGCACTCCCACTGAATATTTATATTCCTCGCCATGGGAATGAGTACCATAATGGGGACCATTTTTGTTTTATTAGGGATGCATATTTAAATTAATCTGCTATTTGCCTAAACAATTAGCTGCCTCTGTTTGTTTACACAAAGCCAAAACTGCAATTAGGCTTCCATCAAAAAGATAAGTCCCGACTAAAACTGTCCCGATGGAGTCATAAGGGCTCAGAGCAGAACTTCCCAAAATTACTTCTTAGCATAATGGTAATTATGTTAATTGCTTGAAAGGTAAATAACTGCTGAACTGGTTTTGAAAAACAGAATGCTAGCTCGCATCACACACACTTAAAACAAGTTAACAAATACAAATGGACAGCACAGGCTACAATTCCCTCTGCAGCCTGGTCTGCCCCACGCCAAGGCTCAGCCCCGGCACCTCGCCGCGCGTCCTGGGCTCCACGCTGAAACAAAGGGAACGGGTGAAGTCTCATCTCCGGGATTTAAAGAAGCAAACAAACATCAATGATAAAAGACTGCACTGATATCAGATCACGGATGGGAGAACTGGACTTTGTCGTCAGATGATGAACACTGCTGCCAAGCTCCTCCAGGCAGGAGTATTTTCAAATTATTTTTTTTTCCCCAGAACATTTATCCCAGTTAAAGACCACTTTTGTGAAGTGGAAAAAGGAAGCTGATTTGCTTTCATGAAGTCTTTTGTTTACACATCTCTGTGATGAGCATTTCACTGTTTTCAACAGAATGTATTAACGTATGAAAGTTCTGCAAAATACCAAAAAACATTCCAGTCAAGGAACCCTCTTCTGACCAGGCAAGCAAACTGGGAAACCCAGAATTTAGAGTTCTGGTCTCTCAGTTTGGGGAATAAAACCACTATTATTATTGTGTCTCAAACACCACGAAAAGAGAAGACAGCGAAAATGGTTCGTGCAATAGTACAATTGGTTTGAGACAGGTTTGGTTTTGTTTTTTTTTAAACCAGATGTTCAATAGCAAAATCTGTCCAAAAATGTTATCAGGCAAATACAGGATGTGCAACACCTGATGCACATCAGTGTGAAAACATGCCCGGTAATATCAAAACCACAAGTGACTTGTAAGGTCACAAGTTAGTATCTTTTTAATGAAGCAGGACAATATAAGGAGGAAAAAGGAAAGTTGAAAAGGAAAATAAAGAGAAATACTTTTTTTTTTTTTCATTAGGATGAACAACTATTTGCTTGCGAAAGGATTGACTGCCCCCTTGCTCTTCCCCTCCTCCAAAAGACTATATGATTCTGTATGTACATCCTCCATCATCTGTTCCTTGCTACCGGTCAGAAGCTTCGATCACTGCGTGCAGGGACCTTCTGTGGAAACGCACTATTGTCAAAACAGGTGCATGCATTCAGGCATGACAGCAGGAAAACATTCACAAGTTTTACATAGAAAAAGCAAACACTCCACTGTATTACCAATAGGTAAAGCTATTACTAGGCCTCAAAGTGCTACTCGGAATATTCTGTATTTCATTGCAGAAACAGTAAAATGTATCTATTAGTGTGCAAACCTTTGCAACAGTCAATCATGTTTGTGTAAGAACAAAGAAAGCCATCATTACAGTTGAAGTTATTAGTATGGCACCATAAAAAAAAAAAAAAAGTGAGGCACAAGATTTACCAGTGCAGATGAGATCACTACTTTACATAGTCTATCTTCCTGCCTCCAGCAGTGACCAGTACTTCATTTCCAAAGCAATATCTTTGCTAAGGTGAAGTTAAGGTTGCAAGCATACAGTATCTTTTTTCTTTTTTTAATACTCTAATCTTAAAAGTGTTAGAAAGTCATTAAATCAAAATTATAAGCAATACCTTCACAGCATGCTAAAATCTGCACCACAATTGTGATTATTCCAACTGAACTCGAACAGTAAGTCCTCAAACAGATTTAGACTTTACAGCTTGCTTATATTTCATTTTGGCTCAAGGAAACGAATTAAGAAGCTGATGAAGATGGTATAATTGCTGACACTTAACATTACAATCACCATACCAGTTGATAATTGTATCAAGATTGCACAAAGATTGCCCAGATCGTACAAAGAATTTAGGTTTGTAACTTCTAACCCAATATATTATTGAAAAGTGGCCTGATGACAGGCTCATTTGCTGCAGTTCACTCTGGTTTGTAAGGTATTTGGATAAAACATTTAACCAAAACTGTTGTGCCCTTACACAGCGCACTGCTGATCGTGACTGTACTCCAATTCTAGCAAGCATCAGCTGGTCTTACACTTGTCTTGCTCTCTCAAAGGCGAATGGCTCCGTTGACAGTGTCTGTCTCTGGTATACTCCCCTCTTCGCAGCTGGAAGCCCAAAAGACATCCTGCAAAAGCAGCTGGTTTTTACATCTGTTTTCACATAGGTTTCTCCCTCGTATAAAGGGCAACCACAAAAAAAAAGTATTTCTTTTCCTATAAAATACTCTAATTCTGTAACAGGGAAAGGCAGCATGAGGCAAGATAAATGATATTTGTAAATATTTATCCTGGCTGCGTTCGCCAGCGTCGTACAGCACGTCACAGCTCCTTCTAAGAGCTCGCCACGGAGAGGGCAGCTGCCCGCCCGTGCTACCTGCGAACGGCGAACCCTCGGGCTATGCAGAGGGAGGGATGCGTTCTGGTGCAGAAGATCCTACGCTCGGATCCTAAGGACCCGTTACATCAGCTCTTCCACGTTAAGACAATACAGCTAGCAGTTGCTGTCAGCTTTAGAAAAGATGTAGAACAATCTATGTGTGTGTTATCTGCGGGGGAAAAAAAAAAAAGCAAAGACAGAATTTTGTATATGCTAGAGCAAGGAATCTGGACATGCTCATGGTTTTCATGCGCCTTCACTTCAGCTTCTAAACTCAGTTGCGTGGGAAAGCCAGAAGCTGCTCAATTCACATCATCTACACGACATTTCTCCTGCTTCTGGGTCGCAGTCCTGCCACTTCCTAGCTTGATTTAAACAAAATAAAATTTTTTTTCACCTTTTGAAAACATTTCTTACCTGTCGTTTTGTCCTCTAAGCTGGGAACATTAATTTATTTCCTTATAACTTTCAGGTAACATCATACTTCTATGAAGTAGAGACAGCTAACAAAACACACAGGTGGAAATGAGCACCAGTCTGAAGTCTCAAAGCTGCTTATCTTGAATTTATCTTGAATCCCAACACCAGTTCTAGTCGGAGGGACGACCAACACAGCCAACTTGACCCTAGTAGGTGGTTGGTGTTTATTAACTAAAATTTTACATTTTATTTTCACTGCAATGCTGTTTCTCAACTTTCAGCAGATACAGCAAGCTACTTACGGTACTAAACAGTGAGACCAGACCTCCGTCATAAGAGTCGTTACCATTACCACGTCAGTTTTCACCAAATAGCATCAGGTTTTAGCTCCACCGCTCTGCTTATAGAGGTTTCCAAAGGAGACCATCCCTGTCCAGTCCCCTCAGAACAGGCCAATATCTGTATTTCCTTCCCATCTTGGGGACTCAAGAGGCAGATCTCCCTGACCGTGATGTGAAATCACACGCCATTTACCCGAACCAAAAGTTTTGCATCCACAGCCACCCGTACATATCTGATGGGAATAAATATACTACTGCATGTTACATGTGGTTTTCTTTGAAAACTTTTTTGTTTATTTGAGCCAGCCTGTTTCCCTGCTCTTGCTGTCTTACAGCATGTCCTGGCACTTAGGGGAAGAGTCCAAACACGTTACTCCACTTCGGTCTTTGCAAAGAGGGTACAGAAGGGACAACACCCGCAAGCAGCTTTAAGGGCATCAGAACGGACAAGACAGCAGATTTTCTGTCCCAGAAAATAGCGCTGCCAAAATTCCCTTCCTGGAGTCTGCCAACAAGCAAGAGCACTTCTGATCCCTGCAGAAACCACCCTCCTTTGCTCTGAGGTGCTACTCTGCAACTTGCGAAGTACCACTAACTCCTCCCAACGGGTCTCAAAGCATTCCCGTGAAGGGCAGCAGTGCAGCATCTCCCTGCCATGCCTACATGAGTATAAAGTACAGCATTTTCAAAAAAAAAAAAAAAAAAGGTACATTCTCTTGTTGCAGCACATTGTTTTCAAGTCAAACTATGAGACTCTGGAGGACGGAGGGGGGGGAGAGCGATGGCTAAAGTAGACTGCTGTTTCCCAAAAGCTGTGGCTCACAGCCAAAGTCAGGCAAGCATGGAGCAGATGGAGTCCTGGCAAGGCCTCTACTGTCCCTGCATTAGCAGCATCTGCTCATTACCCAGAACCCTCGCCTGCTTTATCTAATGCTCCAGGAAAAGCATTTTGATTTGATTCATTTCAGTTCGGTAACGTGCAACACAATTAGTGGTAAAATCAAACTGGAGGACTGCCAGTGCTGACAATAGGAAACAAGGCAGAAGAAATATGAGGCCAGTGGGTTGGAATTCAAAAATCACAACTGTGGATCAAGTTGCCAAGTCCCGTTGCCCCAGGTGTACATACAGTGCCCCCACTGAGCACTGGCATGGGCGGAGGGAACTTCATTTTCTCCCCGTACATTTTTCTCTCATTTACCTCTCCTTGCAGCTTGTTTCTCAGAGGCTGACGCTGTCGGAAACATTCACCAGAAGTCACAATTCAATTTTTCTTTAGTGCCATTGTGGAGTTACAATTCACTTTGGATGCAGGCATCCCAGTAAGACAAATCTTTCTCCTTTCTATATTTCATATGCCTTGGGAAGCGTTTGCTACTACCGAACCAGCAAAACAGCGCTGTAAGGCAGGCACGACGCGAGCAGAATCTGCCTGTTAGTTCTTCCCTGTGATCGGATGCCAAGGACATCGCTGCGTGAGCTCTGCTGAACTGGGAGAAACTGATGTTATCTGAACGAGTCTGCTAGCCAGGGATTCGACAGAGAAGTCTAGACTCTTTGCCTGACAGCACCACCTCCAACACTAGCAGATGGTTTCTCTGTGTTAGTCAAACTTACAAACAAAGAGAAAAGGGAACTGGAAAAGTACAACAAAGAACAATCAAACACATTATCTTCAAAGTCGTCCTCCCCCCTCCCCAAGTTTAAAATAATTCTCTCCACCAAACGGTAAATATACACTTTCAGATACCAGTTAGTAAACATTTCTAAAATTGGTCTTTATAATTCCCTATTCACATAGAAACTAATCTATTCTGACCAGGCTTCTCAAATCAGAGTAACTGCCATATCACAGAGCCCATTAAAATTTCTACCCCAAAGAATAAAAGACGCCGAGCTTTATGCAAACGAGTTTAGTCAGAGCACACACAGGACTGACGACAAGGAACATGACAGAAAAAACCCAAACCCTTAGACGAATTATTAGATTAGTCAGCGGGAGACTAGAAAACAAACAAAAGACCCTCTGCTAGTCGTTGTTTGGCACACTGGACAAAAAGCCAACACTTAAAACTATCACTGTTATAATTTCCTATGACTTGAGTAAATAATATTAACGAGTATTCTGTAAGACCAGACTTGCTGTTGTCAGAAAATGTTGCCTATCAACAATTTTTAGCCACAGTAAACCGTTCTAGCATGATCCATGCTAGAAAAACAGCTAAGGATGTTGATCATCTTAAAACAGCTGTTTTCACATATAAAGCATTTAATTTACTTCTCAAATAAAACATGTGGATTAGAGATTTTGTTTGGATTACCCATCCTCGGTTTTGTTTTCACATGCAGAAATACCAGGATCAAAGACAGTACGCGTACAGAGCTCCCTAACTTTAAAAATACTCTTTATTCATACCCGAGGAAAGGTTTTTAAGCGTCAGATCACACATTTTAAAGAAAGATGACAGGAGTTGAGTTCTGCCTCAGCAACTCAGCCTCGGATCCCAATTGGCTAGCACTGTCCAAACCTGACTTTTTTAATTGCTGTTCCCACATCCACTAGATGTACGGTTGGTCTCTGGCTCTTGTTGCCCATTATATAAACATCTAAGTATATTTAAAACAATGCATATAACCAGGATTTTATTATGGTTTCATTAAATACTAGCTCACAGGTTTTATTTCTCTATATCAAAGTATATAATAACCCACCACTGCAAACCAACACTTCAGTTAAGAAAACGTGCATCCATACACCATGCCAAGAGCGAGAGAGCACGCGGATTAATCAGACATGCAAGTTTACCAGTATTCCCATAACAAAGCCTCCCAGCACCCCAAGGGAGTTTTGCACAGAGGAGAAGGCTGGTGGAAGAACAGTTAATATTTTTATAGCAAAACAAGTTATTTGCTTAAGATAGTTTGGCTGGACTACAGCCTGGCACTCAAGCTTTATGTAGCAGTTCCAGTAGGAATTAAACATCAGTTTTAATGGGTGCTATGTTCCAATGCCTCCTAATGCATTTAGGGTTATTGGCCAACTTTCTCACATAAAAGCAAGAGTGTGCGTGTGTGTGTATATACCGGATTACAGGCACACAAAAAGCTGAGCACAGCTGCTTCATTTTTGTAAAGCTTTTTTTTTTTTTTTTTTTTTAAAAATAGGGGGGTTTACCATCCTCGTAAGCTGCTACAGCCAGAGAGCTGTTTATCTTCACAAAGGAGACATGTGGCTGAGGTCCAGCATCACCAGGACTGTGCATCGGTTCCAGGATGGGGGCTGTGTAGTCCCAGGTGCGAGTGTCCCACAACCTCACTTCTCCTGATGTGTATCTGGAAAAGAAGGCTATTATTCATCCCAAAACATCTGAAAAGAGGTAGCTGCAGAAGAAGGGAGGAAGAAACAAAAAGCATCTTAAAACCCAACACCATTTGCAGCTCCTAGACTGATTCTCCTCCTGTTTGCACACTCTGCGTACAAGCCCATCAACTTTGCTCATTTTATTCCCATTTACTGAATGTAGCATCAAGTTTACTAAGACAGGCAGGTAAATTGGAGCTACAAGAACAACACTACTGAGCTACCACAGGTTACCAACTATCGATATCAGCTTTACAACAAGAATGCAAGAACAGCCGGGCTCGAGGGAGAAAAGGTAATCAGTAATGAGTCTAAATTACATCATGACAAAACTTCAGACTGTTTCTTTTTGGTCTTTAACAATTTGTGATTGTGGTGGTGCCAAGGAAACTCTGTTTAATGAGAGCATTTATGTACATACATACAAGCACTCACACCACCACCCCCCCATCCAACCTACTGCTCTTTATAAAAAGCAACTTTTTAATGCCTCATCAACAGATTTGCCTACATCTCTGAAGGCTAATTAATTTATTAATACAATTAAGTGTTGCCTTTAGAATTAAGGTAGTGCTGCCACTTTTACAGAAGGCTCTCTCACTGAAACATCAGAAAAACTATAGTTTAACAGCAAACTATAGTTTGCCAATGAGAAAATAAAAAAAAATAGAACTAAACTTCTCAGATAATACTGAATATACCTAAACGAATGAAGGTTGTTACCCAGCAAGCAACACAGAAACTGTTCTCTGCCATCTATGCTGTGGCACAAAAAAACCACCAACCACCAAACCACTGCAGGCAAAGCAGAGGAGAAGCTCCTTCTACGACTGGTCAAAGAACGCAGTTCAATAGTTATTTGGAACAATTCAATAATTAGTTAAGATAAGTTTTGACAGAACTGTGACAATTAACACTGTCAGATTGTCTCAGGTGTCTCTGCCGTAGCTGAGACTTGGGTTCTGTTGGAAAATGAAGGGTGCTTCATGTTCTGTCACCTTTGTTGTTTGGGCGAACAGTATTTCAAAGAATGATTCTTATAAGCCTCAAAGGTCTACCGGTTAGAAACCTGGCTGTTCTAGGTTTATGAGAAAAATACGAAAATAGTTATTTACAAAGGAGGTGAAGGAAAGTGCTTAATAAAGGTTTAGAAGATGTTGGACTTCGACTCAGGTTACCCAGTTCTTTGGGGAGTTGGTACTGTAGCAATGGGGCTACAGGTACTCTGGAGCAGATTACTTCCAACATCTCTGAGCAAAAATGCTCCACTTTATACAAGTAATTAAAGTGCCTGAGGGGGCAGTGAAATCTGCCAAGCAGAAAGAGATGCACTTTAAATCTCTGCACCGAATCGGGAAGAGAGAACTGTGTCCTTGTCACCTGGATTCCTCTTCAGTGCTTCGCACGGTAAGACAGAAGACAATGAGAGAATGGGGTGGGATAGCACTTCTCTCTTTTCCTCCTTCTGCAAACGAGGCCCAAATCCCCCTACGAAGTCTGCTTTCATTTCCAATTTATAGCAGCACTATTTAAAAAGAATAGACCAAGAGAGAAGCTTCCCCAAAGCAAAATGTTTCACGTTGGACCGAACAAGCAGTCCAGATTAGTCCACAACAAACATAAAACTTTATAAAACTGGGAAGTACTCATTTCAGGTACATTTTAGAATTTGGAGATAAACCACAACAGGACAGGTAATTGCACAGATCTGTCGCAGTCCCATTCAACAAGACACACACATAACATTTGGGAAGCATTTTAATTTTGAGCTGCTTTTTGTTTCCTTTTATGTCTGGGTTGGTTGGGGTCATGTTTTCAAGCTTCTCTTAACTGCAAAGAGTAGCAGATTATTCTCAAGGAGGAAGCCAAAATTCTCTTGTTGCCATGTGACCCTGAGAAGTGAGTTTCAAGTGAGACCTAAAATACTGGCAGAATTGACAGAATATTAAATTTCATCCCCAAATAAGCAACGAAGAACAGTATCTCCTCCTAGTGCATATACTTACTCACTCTCACATAGTCCAGTCTAGGAACGTGAAAAGAAAGACTAATAGATGGAGAAAACAGAACGACAGGAAAAGAGAGGAGACACAGGGCTGGCTAATTCTTTGCTTCTGGTTTTTCTACATGGCATGCAACACAAGCGATCTGGGGCTCAAGACACACTACCATCCATAAAAAATAACGCGGGCCACAATCTTGGGATTAAAGACGCAACATCACACTATCACAATAAGTGCTTAAATTAATTTTATCTCAGAATTCAATCAAGTCAAAATTTAGTTGGAACCATTCTTTGTTCTTGAAGAACAACGTGAACTACCTTTACAGCTAAGCTCAAACTGGAACAGAACCACCAAACATTGCTGACTATCAGCTTGAAATAAATTTAACTCAAATTCTGATGGTTTGTGCTTGGACCTGTTAAACACAGGAACTGTCTCTGCATCAGAC